CTCCGGAATGGTGCTTTGGGAATTCCCTTCAGCGGTGCTGAGGAAAGACAGACAATATTTCATTATTAATCTTGTGTGCCGTTTTTAAGATTTTTTTTTACAATTTTTAAAAAAATAAGTCTCTAATGCTCACCAAGGCTGCATTTATTTGATCAAAAATACAATTAAAAGTAATATTGTGAAATTTTATTACAATTTAAAATACCTGTTGTATTTAAATATATATTTCGAAACATAATTTATTCCTGTGACGTAAAGCTGAATTTTTTGTATAATTTAATTATAATTAGTCTTCAGTGTCCTGTGATGCTTAATTTATCCTAATAGGCTGATTTGCTGCTCAAGAAACATCGCAATACTGAAAACAGCTGTGATGCTTCATATTTTTGTGGAAACTATGATACATTACAGAAATCTGTGATACATTAGGATTCTTTGATGAATAGAAAAGTTCAGAATTGATTTGAAATAGAAATCTTAGCAACGCAAGTCTAATTTATTAACAATAATGAATGCATTAACTAACATAAGCTAACAATGAGTGATATAATTTATAGTATTTATTAACCTTTGTTATAATGTTAGTAAATCAAATGTGCATTTTCATGTTAGTTCACAGTGCAATTAACTAATGTCAACAAATACGACTTTTAATAATGTTGTAGCAAATGTAGAAATTAACTAAGATGAGTCTGTTCAAGTGAATAGCAATGCGAAAGAGAAATCAATTCGTTGTTCGGTCGCTATCTGAAAGTGTGAGTGCCATATTGATGGTGAAACTTAACAAATTAATCCATGAAACATGATTGCCGAATCATGGTGCCTGGTCCGTATGGATCAAGGATCAACTATGATCCATTTAACCCATAAAAAAATGCTGTAGAAGTATTGTTCATCTGAACTAATGTAGTTAACGAATGTTAACAAGTGAAAGAAACCTTATTGTAAACTAAAGCGTTATCAAAGTCTTTTGTAATGTTAGTTTTAAAAGGTTTTACTATCACTTTTGATCAATCTAATGCATTTTTGCTGAATAAAAGTGTTTCTTATAAATCTTAATGACCTCTAACTTTTGAACAGTGTAAAAGACTTTATCCACATAAAAAAATACATTTAACCAAACGGTTCCAAATCATTTTAGTTGATGTATAAGGTCAGTTCTCCTTAAGTTCATCACTTTAACTATGGACATGCTCCAGTAACGTTTTACAACAACAAAAAAATTTACACACTTTGAACACCGAAACTATTATTGTATCATTTCAAACCTAAGCTTTGATATTATTGTCATCACAATAATACAATTTTACCATACAAATATTTTCGGGATATAAATCTTACTTGTGGTGTCAATCTTCTTTACCAGACCTCTTCCTTTGGAGTGGAAAGGCACTCCTGCGGTTTTCTTTAACTGCTGGGCAGTCTCTGTGGCTTCAGAACAAATATAATGGATAACACACATGGCAATCACCACTCAACAAACAAACATAAACGATTTTTATGAAATCATCACGTTTTTCTGGCACCAATAATTCATAAAGACACTTACATTTCTGAAGCAGCTCAGCTCTGAGCGTAGCACTCTTGGGCTTCCTCTTGAGCTGGAAGTGCTTGATGGGTGGAGTGAGTGGCCCCACCAGAGTAGTCAAAGCACTCTTGTTCAGATACTGACACTCCAAAGGCAACATTGATGACGCTTCACATTCATTTACTGGATGGAGGTGCAAACATCAACAGTAAGTCCCAGCAGATGCTTCCTTACCAAATTGCATATTTACTATGCACTTGCAAGTAACAGGGAGGTGAGAATACTTCTCACAAGCTAATTAGAACCTCACACAAACCATCTCAGACAACCACAATAAATGTCACTGTTACTTGAATAGAGTAATAGAGATGGTCAATGATCGTGAAACGAAAACACTGATATATGAAAATAAACTTTTTAACATTAATTATCTTAAAAATGAATGTTTACAGAGGCATTTTGGGTAGCAATGTGCAGTCAGTAACTGTTCATGAACACATCACACAGAGATTTTCAGCCCAAGACAGTAATACAGCACTCAAAATCAGATTTTTCACTAGAGACACTGTCTTTAAAATGTGTTGTGATTGTGAATGCGCCTAACAAAGTCGTCTATCTGACACAAGTACATAGACCAACAATAAGCTGTAAAACTGACCAAAATGTACATTCCTAACATGTAGTCAAAAGCAGTAGACAGACCAAGGCTGGAAAAAATATTTAAACCTAGACTAGAATTTATTGTGAAGGATGAGGTGCTTGGAAACCAGAAGATGGAGGAGCTTGGAAACCAGAAAAGACAAATATTAAACTGGAAATTACTGACAATGACTTTTGACCCTTTACTAGCACTCCAATCATTGATATTAGACCAACCTTTCTCACGGAGCTCTCCAAGTATGTCCTGTACATTTGGGTTCTGCTCCTCCAGATCCAGGTTTAGCGAGCCGGTCTCTGGAAATGATTTCAGGATATCGGCCACCATTAACACCCACGGCTCAGAGTCCACAGTGGCCAACTGAATGATCTCTGATAGAGCTTCCTTCATCTGGAATATGAGGTATAGAGAGAGGATAACATATTTAACTTAGTCAGTTTGTCAAATGAATCTGCTACTATTTCACTGTGGTTTGCTATCATACTGTAAATAGATCATTGCAGCGCTGCATACATGATTTCCGACTTAATGAAATGCCCTTTTATTGTCACTATACACATGTACAATGAGATTAAAAGCAACTTCTTTTCCAGTGTCAACATGTAGAGACAACAACATAGAATTAAATAACCACCTATTGTTGTTGTCTCTACATATTGATACTGGAAAGAACTTTAAGTTACTTTAAATTAATAACAAACAACATGCAATTATTGTGATTCCTCTAATTATGTAAGAATTATTGACATTTTGTAGATTCAACAAGAGGCAAGTAACTGTATGGTCAAAACTGTATATGAACGCTTTTTGAGCGAGTACCGAGACTTTGCCCTAAAATACCATGGTAATCAAAGTTCCCGCCAAATCCGTGTGTAATGTATTTTAATAACAGCTGAGTGTGGTTATCAAGTTACCATTGGTTTACACAGTATTAGCAATGACTATACTAAATGTGGTGTTTTGGCGGAAACTATGGCAAATGTTTTTAGTGGCAAATGTTTTTAAGGGGGGCGTTTTACTCGTCCAAACAAATACATAAACTGCATCAAAATAACATGCCAACAACAGTCAAAAAGTTGACTGAATGTTTACATACAGGAAGGCTATCAGGTTAGCTCAAGCCCAGAGGCTGAAGACAAACAGCAGCCGGAGATTGACATTATCCAGACAGCAGCTGCTCCAGGGGTCTCATAGTGGAAGCCATGTTATTACATATGCAACACATACGTGTCAATATATGACACAGTTACTGCTAATAAACAACATGTCACTCCAATAAAGCATGCCACACTAGGAAGTTAAGACAGTTTGTGTGTGTGTGCAGCAGCAAGAGGAGCAGGAGGAGCGAGTCCTGCAGTCGCACCTCATCCACGGTCCTGCGCGGGAGATGCAGCATCCCCAGCAAGAGTTTAAGCTTCACCGGAGGCGACAGACTGGAGAAACACAGGCGTATGTTGTCGATGACCGATACGGTGAGTAGGGAAGCGATGCTCGAAGGTGTCCACAGCTCGTCTGTCGATCCAAGTTTGTTGTGGAGCCACAGGCCGGTGTCGCTCTCCCTCATCGACGCCATCTTGGAAAAAGACGAATAGTCAGATCGGGCATTTTAACAGGCTACCTAAGAAAACACACACGAGCACGCTAGGACCCGTGTGAGCACAAGTTGAAAACTTCTGAAAACATGTCATCAGTATGTTATCTGTGTTATTCGTGATTTATTCAACTGCTTATTTTTCTGTTGCCTATTTTGATTTTTGATTTGGCGCTTTGCTGTATTTGACCATGTGTAAAGCATTGGCTTTTATCCCTTGTCATATGTTTTGTTTACGACCTGTGTTTTGTATACATTTGTTGATTAATAACAATACCACTTATTGTCTGAGTTATCAGTGCTAATTTGTTGAGTGAAATTAATTCTGAATATCATTTCCTTAAAAAAACAAAACAAAAACATTAGCATGCATGCACTTTCATTTGAACATTGTACAAACAAAAATTAATTATTTTATTACCAAACACTTTTTTATATTATATTAATATAGGGTATATAGGGCATACAATAGGGTATAAAGTATACAATAAAGCTCACCAAAGAGTCTCTAACATTGTCTACATCAGTCAACAAAACCAACTTATTTATTTGTAAACTTGCATTTATGAATGTGAAATTTGGTCAAATTGATGCCACCAAATGTATATCTATCTAAAATATTAATTAATAAAACTAATACAAATTATTAAAACCTGCACTGTTCCTAATTAGTAACGTTCCTAAACATAAAACTTATGTTATTACATTATTACATTCAAAGCGAGTAAGGATAAAACCCATGTGAGCAGAAGTAGCCAATCAGAGAGAAAAACGTTGCCTGGGCATTAAACACATAGATTACATAATAAAGGTAGAAGTCTCTTCCGAGCTGTTGGCAAATGGAGGTCGACGTCCGCCAGTAACAGGCAGCTCGCTCTTTCGTGCATGTACTTTTTAAAATAACCATACATTTTCTACCTATTTTCAAACGGTTTGGTTTGTTATAAATGCCTGAAATGTAGTTATGACACTGTACACGAATAATAAGTGCATCAATAAATAATCATTCAGAATAGCCACGTTAGACACCAAACCGTTTGGTGTAAATCCGTCAAGATTTAAACGAGATAAGTGTTCGTTCTGATCACTCATCTTACACAGGTAAGTTACCACAGCGCTCGCCAGAAAGCTTGCCTGTGACAAGATGGCCGACTGTGATGACGATAGAGACTCCGCCGTAAGACATCTAGCTTTTATTATGGGCATCTATGGTACGGTGATTCGCGAAGGACAATACACCTCAAAAACGCAATTGACGCTTCGCAACGAAACTGCGTCCTGAACGAATAGGAGGGCGGTGGTTTGACTAACGGTACTGCTGGCTTTATCAGAGGTAATGCAAATTAGCTCTGCTTTTATTAGCTGCACTAATGAGCCTAACAGGAGTGGGACTGGAGTGTTTCGGTTATCGTATTTGTAAATGATCATATTTTAAAATTATAAAGACAAAGGTAAAATAAAACAAAATATGATGCTCGACAGCGTCTTATTTTCGCTTTGTTAGTCTGTATTTTGTAAGGTATTTCTCAATTTGTTAGTCGATTTTATGAAAACCGTCTGCCATACGGTGAAATGTAAATTTTAAGAACATTTTGTCCATTGCACAATCAAAGCGTCGAGTCTGTTGTTATTCCGCAGGTATTGTTTACGTCGATGCTGCGCGACAGTATGAGGCCAAGCGGAGCACTAGCGACAGTGATGCTGTTGCTGATCCAGCTCATCTGTTTCAAACACATTCATGCCGAGGAATCAGGGACGGTCATCCCCGCTGAGAGTAAGACTGTGTGCATTTATAGGCGTGTAGGACAAGCAATTTATCATTTTATGTCTTCTCAACATTGCCGTTTCCGGAGCAGTGCTATTTTAGTATATACGTATAGTTTTGATTAACAGTTTGGGTTAGCTATTATTTTTATATTTGCAGTTTTCATTTTAATTTAATTTCTTAGTATTTATGTAGCCTACTTTTATCATTTAAAAATAAATAAATAAAAACATTACCATTTAGGTGTAATTTATTTTTATTTCAGCATTAGTTTTTTATTTATTTACACTTAGTAATTTGTGTGCTTAATCATATTTCAGCTAGTTGCCAACATTTCTTATTTTATTTTATTTAGGGTTTTCATAATATTTATATTTAGCAAAATAACTTCCCCTCCTACTTAAAACAAAAAATAGTTATTAAAATGATATCAACCCTGCTGCTGTTGAATATGAATTAATTACCTACTTTTGTTTTAATAGGCCGGCCATGCGTTGATTGTCATGCCTTCGAGTTCATGCAGAGAGCATTGCAAGACCTGAAGAAAACAGCTTTCAACTTAGACTCACGGGTAAGATCACATTGAGACATCTGAGACATAATTGAATGCAGTCTCAGGGATGAAAGTGATGTCCTTATATTGATGAATTATATATTTATTTTGGATATTTTAATGCAGTGAGAGACAATAAAACATTTAGTCGAACTTTACCATCTCAACTTAAGCTTTAACATTTTCATTTTATTACAAAATTAAGAGCCAACAATAATTTGCTGACCCCCTTCAATATATGGTTACAGTATATGGTTGAAAATCCTTAAAGCTACACTGTGTAACTCTTTTAGTTTATTCTTAGCCAAAAACACTTAACACAAAAATATATGTGCTCATTAATGTACATTTACTTCGTTCAAGTAATAAAGTATTCTCGTGAGTGTATAATATGCCTTTGAAAATACATACGGGTAAGGAAGTCTAATGTCGGTCGCCATGTTGCCCCTCCATCTTAAAAGTACATTAGCCAAAGAGGGACATACCCGTTAATTATAGCTTCGCCTTTCGCGTTTACGTTTGAGTTAACACTCATGGACGAGGTCGAACTGGAAGCCATGTTAATCTTGGACTACATTCGCCACCGTAGAAGTTAAAACGAAATCGGAATTGAGAGGAACAGAAACTAATATTCACTGGATGGTCATATACCTTTTCACCGCTAGATGGGGGTAAAAATCACACAGTGTAGCTTTAATATAAAAAGTCACCATGAAATCAAAGTTGTCAATTGTTATTTCTGTAGTGGAATATTGCAGTATTTATTATAAATGGTTTATCTGTGCCTTTAATCGAAATAACTTTCCCTCCCACTTACGACGACATCTCTTTTCTTCTCTGATGACGTGTTTACTGGCGTGAGGGCGGGGCAACCTGTCACTCACATGACATCACTGCAGTAACAAACCACAGGGATCCAATCTTGTTCGAGAAGCCATTTCACTCAGATATACATCACAATAATAAAGAAAAGACTATTGCGACTTCCATTTCATGCAGACTTTAATGTCAATCCCTGTTAATTTAGCAATTACAGAATCAAGTCAATGAAGCATCTTTCAGAAAGTTTGGAGATAGACACCTCACAGCTTCACTTTTGCTTTATCATTTCTCATATTTTTCAGACGGAGGATTTGGTGCTGAGGGCTGAGAAGAGGGCACTGTGCGACTGCATGCCGGCCAGCAGTCTGCGCTAAAAAAAAGCCTGACGTAAACACTGCACTCAGATATAGAAACCATTATATACCTACAGGATATACTACCTGCTCTCATCATAATACACACTCAAACATAGTTCCTGTCATGTGTCACATGACACACGTTTTATCTTTCATCGTAGTATGTGCATAGAGTATCAAATACACATCCTGACTAAAGTCAACACAAACTCTGCAGTTTAAATGTCAATTATTACATAAGTGTGCAATAAAGACAGGGGTACGTGTTTCCTCTCCAGGCACAATGCACTGCAAAATATTCTGAAATCATAAAACACACTAATTATAATTATTTACACAGTAGACTATATGTTTTTTTCAAATGTTGAATTGTATTTTATATTTGTGTTCTAGAAATATCTGATCACAATAGTCATTTTAGATGAATTAAATATCAGAATTGAAATGTCCATCTCCAGGAGTTGTTTAGTGTTTAGTCAGATTATTAGATTATAGATACAGTATATAATTAGAAATGAAGCTGCATGTAAAGTGATAGTGTAGAATTTTATATGAGGATTTATGAAGATGGAACTTGAAGTAAGGTTCCTATATAAAGATTACTTTGCTACTAAGATGCAAGTTCACAGCTGTAACAATGTCTTTTTGTGTGTAGAAAAAGTGCATTAAAACACATGACACCATATTTCACGTTGTAAATCATTTGTATCTTGTCAACGCGCGTAGCAAGTTTTTTTTTTTTTTTTTTAAATCGAAATCCACCTTACCAGCAAAAACGTCAACATCAAGACAGTTATTTTCAGTTTTTTTCGGCGTTGCATGCGAGAGAGGCAGGAGCACACACACGCTCTCTCGCATGTAACGCATTAAATAACCAGACGGGGGCGCAAGGATATAAAGGTTCAATATTAACTGTCGCAGCAATGCAGCACTTCCCATTGGGGTGTGAAAACACAGCTCTGCAGCGCAAGCAAGTTCAGGGAAAAATACACACAACATCAGTAAACAGCGGAATTCAGAGAATGCCTCGACCAACACTGTTACAGTGTAAAACTGCAGTGTGAAGCCACCCAAACTACTGACACTGGTAAATAAACAAACTTTTCCCGATGATGGCACACGTTTCTTTTACCTTCCTTTAACTACACTAAACCATCCTCAGTTGATGCAAACGTCGTTTGCATCAACTGAGGATGGTTTAGTGTAGTTAAAGGAAGGTAAAAGAAAACGTTTGATTAAAAAGATGCAAAGTGCTTTTTCATACATAGCATTTAGTTGAAGTGGGGAAAAAAAAGTTTTTTTTTTTCACAAAAACCAACATAATCTCCGAAACATAGGCTGCAGAACTCATATAATGAATCAATGCATGTTTTAATAAAATTGAAAAACAATTTTGGGAGGATACAAATGGGAGGGAAACAGAATATTTGTCACTATGAATTTAAAAATGTTTTTAAGTTTAATAATAAAATTGAATTGTTAAAGACAAAAAAAGTGTGTTATTAAAGCTCAAACAATGGACATTATCCATTGATCAATTAGATCAAAAAAGGACTAATGTTGCAGCTTTTATGATGATGATGGATGAGGAAGGCAGAAGTTGAACCTTAGTCAGAGTTACAGTTAGGCTACACTTTAGCTTCACTCATGATGTCCAGCAAATAAGTGAAAATAATCAATTACAAAGCTAATTTAAGTACAACAGGACTTAGAAATACACATCTAAAATATAAATCTCAATACTTATCTCAGACCATGCAGCCACAAGGACCTTGGAGGGTGTTTCACCCATGTAGTGAGTGGCTCATGAATACTTAAAGATCATAATCCATTAATTATGCATACATATTTTTTGCAGAAGCCTCAAATGAATTACTCATTAGGGACTAAACTATGAATAGGTCTGAGGATGGCCGTTTCTGATGATAAAATATTCACTTTCCTATAGGCAAGAAAGAGAGTGAGTGAAAGACACAACCACACCATTCTGGTGTAAAGAGTTTCTGAGCAGGGGGTCTGCAGAGAAATGATGGATTGTGAAGAAAAAAAGACCGCCCCATTACACACACTGTAAACGTGTGTGTGTGTGTGTGTGTGTGGTACTTAACTGACTGTCTGCTACGAGTTGACGCCCTGTTGCATTATGCATCTGCTGACACCTCTACATCTCTTGCTGATTTTGAAAAAATACAGAGTTGCTGTCTGTTTTTTCAAGGAGAACAAACCTCCAGCCTCCCTACCAGACCCGTCGGTCTGTCTGTCTCCTACAGGATGGAGAATCCGGTTTGTTCCTGTTTTTCTCTCTTCCTCCTCCTGCCCTCCCTCTAAAACACATTCTCTCTCCATCTCTCTCTGTAATTCTCCTGGTTTCCCTCTCTCTGACCCCGTGTCCCGATGCTGACAGTAGTGTCTGGGTGGCTGATGCCCCTGGCACTAGGCATGAGTCCCAGAGGAAAGTGGACACAGTGTGCGGCGGATGGTGGGCATCCTGGTACACACCCACAGATGGATTATTTTTAGAATCAAAAAATCCTGGAACAAAACACAAACGCACAGGGATATTGATTACAATGGAATCCATGCACTCAAAAACAATAGTTTATATCACCAAATTAACAGGAATTCAAAGAAATTATGACTTCCTAAAATATAAAGAAAGCTATATATTTTCATGCATAGACCGTTTCATACTAAAATTAAATATTATAATATATTATAAATATTATAAACTATGTTTAAAAAATATATATTTTTTACTGGAAAATATGAGTTCCATCAAGCCTCTTTTTCTATCCACAGTTTTATTAGACATAACTTTGGCTATCAATACAACAAAATAATAATTTACCTCATGATTTAATTATTATGACTATTATATAGAAAGCAGAATGAAATGTCAAATTCTGTAAATGTGTATTATTGTAAAAAAAAAAAAATATTTCAAGATTTGTTATCACAACATTTTTTCTTTTGTCAAATCAACTTAAATAATTTATTTAGTTCAGATAACTTATTATTTTGAGTTTCTGATGATTAAATCAATCTCTATTGTATTAACTCACTTTTTCTAGTTCAATCAACTTGAAATTTTAAGGCAACCAGGTTACTTAATTTTTTAAGTAAAACCAACAATATTTTTTATACATTGTATATATTTTACAACTATTATATTTTTTACAAAAATGTTCTTTTGTTTTTGGCAGTCCGTCAAGCACTCAACTTTATTTTAAGGTGACGCAGTTGTTACTATACATGTACTTACAATAGTAACAACAGTAAAGTATGCATAAACACCCTAATAGTATATAGTTAATTAATATTACTTGATTGAACTATGTCATCTTAAAATAAAGTATAACTTTTTCATATTTTAAGATACTTTGGATAAAAGCATCTGCTAAATGATTACATGTAAATCAGTCCCGACCCCAAATCCTGTTCTCTTGAAATATTTAATAAATGATTAGGACTATAGCATTGATTTATTTGATTTAATATTTTCATTTCCCCCCTAACCTTAAAGCCCCTCAGAATAAAAATCTGATATTTAAAACAAGCGACACAAAAAGGTCACATTGCTTTGGGAGTACCTAACCTGACCCATGAGGTTCTGGGTGAACACCATTCATGCAGTGTGTGTGCAGCTGACAGATCCGAGGACATGGCATCGCATTCAACCCATTAACACATGTTGGTTTCCTGCCAGTTCTCTCCCTCATTCTGCCACTTCATTTCGCTCTGTTTTTATAAGTTACTAGTAAAAGCTGTGTGAGGAATATTAGTCCCTTCTAATCTGCAGTCATTTTAATCATGTCGCACTAATTACATGATTACAAATGATATACTTTGTACATCAGTATAATGATAAAATCATATAATTAGTAGAATATCTTAATAGCATCATATAATTATGAATATACTAATGTTCATATAATTTAATGTTTTTTTGAAGAAATAATTAACCACATTGAGCACTTTTACAGAGCGAAAGTCTGTATTACAAAACGGCTCAAAGTCAAACAGCCACTGAATAATCAGGAAAAACAACATTTCAGATGTTAATGCAAATTAATTCCTTTTTTGCATTTAAATTAATCAATGATGGTACTGTAAAGAAAAATTTGAAATTAATTTAGTGACTTCTGTATCTATAAATGCTGTGGGCTTTTTGATACTTTTGTTGACTACACAGTCTTTTCTCTCAATGTCAGTCAACACTTTGTGAGGAATGACATTTAAAACAGGAGACAGATTATGTCAAAAACACAAGATAGGAATCAGAACTCCTAACATCCATTTTCTTCATGTATCAATATAAAAAGCATGTAAAATATACACATAAGACCTAAATCTTATATCACAATAGGAGTCATTTTATTTCACAACAATGCTATACACCATGCTATTGTTATTTTTGCTTTAAATACGTTTTTTATTTCAAAATTTTTGATAACCAATTTCAATATCACAAAAATAGAAATGTAGCCTAAGTAAAAAACAAAAACAAAACAATTCACAAGCTTGAAGACAACTCAAAAGTGATAAAATAAGAAAGAAACTAAATAACAAGCAACAGGATGAAATAGCAATAGACACAAATAAAATAGACCTGATGGTAAAACCGCCAATCACTAGAAATAAGAATAAGCTTTAGATTTATATTTAAATACTAAATATAAATTGTATAAATATTAAATGTACAAAAAAAAACACAGCATATATGCACTGTGTAAATTAAATATACATTTATTCTTATTAAAGTTACAAAAGTGAAGTCAAGAGCAGTGAGTAATTTTCTATTTGTCTTCTGTTGTTTGATTGCCATTAATGTGCCATGACAACATGTTTTCTTATACAGTTGTCACTTTAAGACCAAATGCATGGATCTAATATACTGATACTCATGCGGTTTCTTTCTCAATGGTTTACATTCAATGAAGACATAAATGACTGTTTACAAGGATATTCGCAAAATACGGACATGCTGACATATAATCTATATGACAGTTCAAGTCCAATAAGGCACCAAAAAAAACCTCAGTTCAGCACTTGTGCGCTGTATGAGCGACTTTATGGCGGACGTGCATATAAACCAAAATTAGTTCTCTTTCACTGCTAAATTTCGGGTTAAAATTGCTTGTATGCTATTTGAAATTAAGATTTTTTTTATTCAGCAATAATCTATTAATTGATTTAGACTTTTACAATGTTACAAAAGTTTTCTATTTCAAATAAATGCTGTTCTTCTGAAAAAAAAAATGCATCACGGTTTGCATAAAAATATTAAGCAGCACAACTGCTTTCAACAGTGATAATAATAAGAAATGTTTCTTGAGCATCAAATCAGCAAATTAATGATTTCTGAAGGATCATGTGATACTAAAGACTGGAGAAATGGTGCTAAAATTTCAGCTTTGTCAGCACAGGAATAAATTTAAATGACATTTTAAAAATAGAAATGTTATTTCAAATGATTCATTTTTCATTGTTGTTAATATTTTGTTGTTTTTTTGTTTCACAATATTACTGTTTTTAACACAGCCCTGATGTCTAGGCTAAAACATTTAATTTGATAGAATAGACGCACAGGCTACGCTTAGAACATGTCAAAGAAATGAAACCAAACACCCGGTAATCACTGTTAACTTACTTGATGGATTATCATACATCTTGCAAATTATTTTGGCAAAAATTGTATGTAACCAAATTCATTGTTATTTTGGCTAGAAATGGTTTACTCATAGTCGGGAAAATATTGGGTCTATATAGTTAACTTAGACGGTGAAATGATGGCTATAACTTGTGTTACTCAGAGACCCACTGACCCACTAGCAAACCAATGCACGTGCAACAACGCACGCACACACGCCCATTCAGGGGGCCCCTGGCCATTATAACAATCACACAAAGCAGCAAGATCATTCACTCATGTTTGAGGATGGCTCTCTAATATTTGTGCTATTATAAAGTTCTAGAAAGACATGAACATCTTGGATGGCATTGGGGTTAAGTAAATTATCAGGACATTTTCATTTTGAGATCGATGAACTAATCCTTTAAGAAGAATGGGCAGTAAATTAATTATTATTTAAAATCCAGGCATGTGAACTGCCTTACAATACACAGACTAGGCTTAGGTCTCGGAAACCCCAACCTTGACACACACACAAACACGATTGCGATTTCTGAGAATCTGAGAGGTCAAGGGTTATTGCAAATGAAGCACACACTATGCAGTTTTGGTGCTGTCTGGCATTTGGGGTCACCACTTCTCTCTGGACTGCTGAGGTCAAAGGTTAAATTAGACAATGGAAGGAGAAAAAAAGTGACCTCATGTAGGCTACTCAAAGTAGGCTGTTCAAAAGTAACCAGCAATTCAACCCCTTTAGAAGTAGATCAGATGAGTAAAGATTAGTTTACAATTATAGTGTTTTCTATTAATTTAGGAGTCACATTACTAAAATATGCTAATTCATTCTCACTGAAGATTGAGGTAAGTGAGCTGTAGGCTATTTTAGATTTTTTGTTCAGACAGAGCTATGATACACAAGAACACAGCTTTTACCTGTGTAAACATTCATTCTAACAAATATACTAGCCTATACTTAAATATTATGATAATACATCTTCGAACTGACAAGAGTGCTGCTCACAGCCTGAGCGCGCGCGCGCATGCCCGGCACAACAACCAGTCAGCAGCACGCAGATGCTGATGCTGAGAAAAGTCCGCATCTTCACTAGAGCTATTACTAGGCTACTCGCGCTTTCATTTTTTTTAATTGTTGAGAAACGTCGCTTTCGTATTACGGCGCATGTAAGATTGCCTGTTCAAACATTTTTTTTAAAAAAAAAAAGAAGACTCTTTTCGTCCGTCAGGGGGAGGGTATGGTCGGGGAAGAAGAAGAAGAAGAAGAAGAAAGGGCGGGGGCGATCCAGTCTAAACTAGTTCTGTACAATACGACCTTATTCAAATCGAGGCGATTTCTTCAGGGCATCAGTTTCTTTAGATAACGAATATTTGCAGCCTAAATCATTTAGCTTACAACTAGGTACTGACGTAATCCGGTCATAGCGGGAGTTGTGTTTAGACATTCTTGTGATAGAAATTTAGAAAAGAGAATAAAATACATCCTCGATATGTAGGCTAATGAGGGAATCCGAAAAAAGGGACAAAAAATAATATCTCATGGCTATGAGTTCTCATTGTCAGGCAGGCTACAATGTTTTTAAAAACGGATGCACGGGATCTCGATTTCATTCAACCACAAACTTATTCTGGGCTTAATTAAATAGACTAGCCTATGCCGAACAGTCAACGGTAGCTAGATGAACTGACGGCGGTTTCTATGAACCTTTAAGGTATCAGGTGGACATTGGTTATGCTCATCTTTAATAGCTCTAAACTGCTCAATATTTGGCTAAAACGACTTTGGACCGGAAGCGATGTTAGAACTTGTTAGCGACTTGTTAGAATACGGAAGTTTTGCGCATAGGCTAGGCTGCTGATTTAGACGAGAGGACTCGGACTCTGCTGCTAATAAGCGCAAAACACATACGCAACTTTGAGAAAACATTCCCAAAGTCGGTTATTAGAAATAAGTAGACACGAGTCACGACCACACTGATCTGGGGTCCCAAGAAGTAGCCTATGGTAGCTGATCCGCGTAGCATTGCAGTGCAGTAAAAGTGTCACTCACACACACTAGTACAAGCTGTACAGTACACGTTGGTAAAATGCCAGTGGATGAAACCCACTGACATCTGCACACTCATTGTAAAATGTGCAGGTCGGGTGTGTGTTTCATCGATGTATGCAGACTGATGTTGCGCAGCATCGTCGTGACGTTGCAGATGCTGCAATCACACGCGGGGTTCATGGCGTTCCACAGCGCATCAGGTTCACTCTCCCCCCAAAACACAAACATGTGAGGGATTTCGCCGGTGTACTGACGGGGAACAAATACTGTTTTAAAAAGACACGTTTACAGTGTATCTTTTGTACGTTCACCTCCCACCGCCGTGATGTGGCACGACGCAGCATCCAATCAGCGAGATGAGGAGAACACCCACACCCCAGAATCTGAATGCGGGTTTGGCGCATTATAAATACCACTTGTGATGCACCGGCAAATCTTGGTCGTGAGGAAGCTCAGGGTTGCAGTAGTACATCAGTCTTTTTTCTTTCCATAACAAAGAAGACCATCATCCATCTTTTATTTCTTTATTTTTTTTGCTTCTCCCCAATTTCAGTTTATTTCAGGCCAGTTGCATGTATTGTTCGTCTCCCAAAATGGTTTGCGAGACTAAAATCGTTGCAGACGATCACGAGGCCATAGCTGGGACAAAAAAAGATTCAATTATAGTTTCCTCCTCGCAAATGTGGACGTCTTCTCCCAGTGCGATCGAGAATAAGGTTGAAAAAAGGAACCAGGTTTTTATTCGCGAATTTAAACGCTCGGACCATGAGGAGGTGCGCCGGATCTTCAACGAGGGAATCATGGAGCGGATACCCAATTCGGCATTTCGGGGTCTAAAACAGCAAACTAGAACCCAAATTATCTATGCCTTTCTCACAGGTATGTGGCCAAAATTCGGGAATACGATGAGAGTATCGCTTTCATCATTGTTCCTCTGCAACATGTGAAAATAAGCTCTGAGCTGTTTGAGTTCATAAGTAAGTATAATAATTGTTAAAATGAAAAGAATCTAACTAAAATGATGAGCCCAGTTGATACATTTTATGCTCAAATCATCATACATTTTATGTTCAAAACGATGAAGCTAACTTTTTTTTTACGCACGTGAAATCTTTTTCGTTTAATAGCCTACATAATCAATCCCAGTGAATATCAAGGAGTCACAAAGACAGCAGTTCAGAGTATGCGGCATGCGTTACCGGTGAATGTGTGTGCGCCAAATGATGAATGAATGAATGAGTCCCGCGCGAGCGCACTACGTTTCCCACAATAGCTTACGTCTGGAGTTAGTGCACGAAGTTTTTTTTTTTTTTTGCCTGACGTTTAATTTACTGAGAAATGATAACCATTAATAATAGCCTATGTCTAATATTTAAAGATGTTGTTTACTAATGATTTTCAATGGTTTTCAACTACAGGCGGTGTACGTGAGCGTCGTGGCGATCTGGCTAAACAGCAACCTTTATATGCTACATTGAAAAAAATGATTTACAACCCTACAGCTGAAATTATGATTTTGTTTTTAACAATGTCTGTACACTTGCATACTAATAATGCTCTATCACGGTACACCTACGGCAACTGTTCCTCTGATAAATTCAGCATAAAGGCTAACTTAGTGTTCTTTAGAATAGCAAAAACTTTGTAAGCGCATTTTATAGTTAGTTTGAGTTGTGTTGACAGTAAACAATGCGCAGATGTAGGCTACTCAAGGGCGCCATCCTGTGCCAACAGCACACATACTCAGATTGTCTTGAGTTTAAGTACATCCATGAAGAACCTGTTATTGAGCACTCAATTGCCCAAGTTACTTACTACTTTTTTAAAATTACAGGATACACTGTAATTAGTCCGTTTTCCATTACATCTCACTACTCTAAGTCAGGGTTTCTCTGCACACTCCTAATTGTGTAAACATTTGTTTGTCTATTTGTCTCTCTTCTGCCAAAAATCAAACATTTGATTCTCTTTTCTGACAGGTGTCGTTTATTTTTCTTCCATTTCTCCATAGTAATGTGCTATGTTATGACCAAATCCTTCACACTGACCTTCTGCGCACCGTTTATTCTAATGGGTGCACGTTATTACTACAGCAGAAAAGTCATTCTCGAATACCTGGACTGCGCTCTGCACACTGATATGGCTGACATTGAGGAGTATTACATGAAACCCACAGGTAAGGGGTAATTTCACGCACATAAACATTGACACAAAATTATCATCACAAGTTTTCAACATGTTCCGCTATATTTGTGATGACTTTTTTTTGTTTGGCTCTCTTTAAGTATTGCCAAACCTGTACAACACTCACACTATTCAAAAGTTTGCGGTCAGTAAGATTCTTTTCTTTAGAAGTCTCTTAAGACTAATTATTTGAACAATATTCAGGAAAAAAAACATTAATATTGTGAAATATTACAATTTAAAATAATTTTAATTATACTTCAAAAATCATTCTTAAATGCTGATTTGGTGCCAAAGTAACATTTCTTATTGTTATCAGTGTTGGAAACAGATGTGCTGCTATATATTTTTTTAAACCAATACATTTTTTCAGGATTTTGTAGATGAATAGAAAGTTCAAAAGAGCAGCATATATACAAAATTGTTTTGTAACACATTTTACTGATCACTTTAGATTAATTTGAGGTGTCCTTGCTGAATAAAAATATTAATTTCTTTTTAAAAAATCTTGCTGGCAAACTTTTGAATGGTACTGTAAACTGTTCATTATATTGGAGAATTCAATGACATGTTATATATATATATATATATATATATATATATATATATATATATATATAAAATCACAATATATTTATATATAAAATATGATATAAATAAGTCTAAGTCAAACAGCACCAGGGCACTTGATAGTAAAATACAATTATGCTGATCTAATAACATGCTTAATCATGAATATTTGTAATTTTACATTGATCATGCTATATTTAAGAGAGAAAATATTTCAATGTATGAACTTCCCAGTTCCCACAATGCACCAGCCCCAATCAACCATTTATCAGACCAGAACAAACACTCTCAGGATCAGTACCTGTGAAATTGAGGGTAAATACTGCTCTTTAGAAGTCCAAGATGGGCTGAATATCTGATGTGTAGCTTTAATGCTGAAGACTCATGAAATATGCAGAAAGTCTCTCTCAGTTCTGCCCTTGAGGATAAATCTTCTGAGTCACGTGGGCCTATTGATTGAAGGCAGGAAAAATGCTGATACAAATTGTATTGCAGTAAACTCAGATTTAGAGTAAATATTTAAAGCACCCCAAAGTAAAAACATAATCAGTAGACCCAGTACAGTTAATGAATCCCATTGCGCATATAACCGTGATGCAGTAGCAAACATACTAATAAATACTGCAGATAACAAGCAAAGTACAGTTGAAGAGGGACAGAATGATGGAGGTGGTTAGTGGCTCTTTAGTATCCTGATACCTTGCAGATAAAACTGTTCTTTAACCTACTTGTGTTGTGTATGATTGGCGCTCTGAAATTGTTTAGCAGATGGTAGTAGCACGTGTAGATTGAGTCCTGGATGGCTGAAATTGTTTATCATTCTATGGGCTTCCCTCACACAGTGTAAGCGTAAGGACAGACATTTATTGCCTATGATAAACTCTGCTGCAGCACTTCATGGTCAAATTCAGAGCACCTGCCTTAGCATATATCTTGAGAGTGCATGTCTTATATGGCCAGGAGAATCACTGTGAGTGATGCAAAATGATACACTTGCGTTCAAAGCTTGGGGATTTTATTTGATCTCTAGAAGAAATTATTTATTTTATTCGGAAAGGATGCATAAAAAATGATCAGACATTAAGACTTTTACATTGTTACAAAAAATTCTGTTCTTTACAACTTTCCATTCATCAAAGAATCTTAAAAAATCTTGATTTTCCACAAAAATATTAAGTAGCACACCTGTTTACAACTTCTTATTAATGTTAATAAGAAGAAATGTCTCTTATGCAACAATTCAGCATATTAGAATGATTTCTTAAGGATCCCTTGACACTGAAGACTTGCTTGAACATTCAGCTTTGCCATCCCAGGAATAATTTACAATTTAAAATATATTAAAATAGAAAGCGCTTATTTTAAATTGTAATAATATTTCATAATATTACGTTTTCTTTATTGTTTTGATCAAACAATGCAGCCTTTGTGAACATAAGAGATTTTCAAGAATCTTACTAATTATTTTTTCAGGATTCTTTGATGAATAGAAAGTATATATATAAATTATAAACTATAAAATTACAGCTATAAAAATATAAAAATAGTGGTCAGTCCATCAGTCCCTTAGTGCAGACAGTTTCTGTGCGTACAAGCATCTTATTTAGTTCTGTATCAAGTGAAAGAGAGAATTGAAGACTAGGGTCAGGAAATGGGGGAAGGTGTGAATCAAAGCCCCGCTGTGAGTATGTGTGGTAGTTTTGTTTAGTAGCAGCATGCAGACAAAGGATTCTCCCAAGGGATTTTCTCTCTTGCTATGCTAATGTGGAATCCTACATCTGAGGAGGGAATGGTAAGGATATATGGGTTATCTGCCAGGGTGATGTTTCTTTAATGCACTCAATATCTATTTGAAGTGGCTTTTTATTATTAAAGAGACTGGGTTTTTGTCAGATACTTAAAACACAAGGAATGCCCCATAAAATACAGCACCATAGTGATATACATGAAAAAGATGTCTACACCTCTTTAATATATGGGAAATACACAAACAGATCTGTCATGCTCCCCACTTTAATGATGACATGAAATGGCATTAGTGACATTTCATTTATTTAATGGGATTAGTAAAACTGCATATTCAGCAGGAAATAATGTGAAGTGGGACTTGATTTTATCCATCAGGATTTAATTGGATCATAAAAAGTTGTTCAATATTATTGGCGAATGATATTTTTCTCCATTTGAATGGTACATAGACGGAGACACACAAACAAAGCAGTTATCAGACAGCTGGGGTGTGGGGTGTAGTAAAACGAATGAGTGTGCGGCAGGACATTCAGTTCCAATGATTAATAGTGCTCCTCAGTCCTGAAGCTAATGCAGTCATGACTGGGGATGGGTATCGTTACGGTTTTACTACTCTTACCGATACGGCTTATCGCTGAGGTACTTTAATGGTATTCTTAGAGGTTCTTTATGTAATATTTTTTATTTCAAAAGAAAAACAAACAAATTAAGAACACAATGAACATTGCTTTATATTTTGAAATGTAAAATAAATATCTATAGCAAACGAAACAGCACTGTTTGAATATTTGTAAATGGACCAGTGTGCAGTGTTTTATGTGAACTGTGAATTGCTTATTTATCTGGAACATCCCGTTAAAGTAGGGTTTCCATTTACCTAAGTAGACCTGGCTATTTAACAAACCTGTCTGAGATTGATATTAGTTATCTAAGTAGATATGGAGAAATAAAACAAACACTTTATATGAAAAACTTGCATAATAATTTGGAACACAGTGTAGATTAATATCACAGGCCTAAAGTTTAACCAAGCAAACATTTGGATGTTTAGTTCTCTCGGCTATCGTCACTACTAATCCTTCCTACATTAATATTACACTTGCAGTTTTGATTAGAGCCGGGACTTTAACGCGTTAATTAAGATTAATTAATTACAGACTTTAACGCATTAATTAATCACACAAAAAACGAACGCATTTTAATCGCACTTATTTTTGCACCGCGGAACATTTCTCACTGGATTAGCTTCGGAGGACCGATTATACCGATTATACTAGCGTTCATGACCCTTTTAAAGTCTATGCTTCAGACAACTAAACAACAAACCACAATGAACATGAACGAAGAAGCTGACGAGACCGCTTTGGTTGGTCCCGTGGATAGGAAATTTTCTTATAAAAACGAACGGATGGAAGCGTCATTAAGAGCATGGTTGTGTGCAAGCTATGCAACAAGGAATTCGCAAAGTTTCACCCATAGACTGTAAAAAAACATACTATTTCACCTCAACGCAAAACATATACAATTGCACTGGTCTGCTAGACTTGGTTGAACAAAAATAAAAAATATTTTGTTGTTTAAGCTTATGTATTCAGTCATTATTCAATGGTATACTAAAAATCCATGTGAAAAAAAATCTTCTCACTGTTCTCAGTTCAAATATTTATGCAATTAAAATGCGATTAATTTCGATTAATTAATTACAAAGCCTCTAATTAATTAGATTAATTTTTTTAATCGAGTCCCAGCCCTAGTTTTGATATAATATTGTGATTTTATTTAAAGTTCTACAAATTCTTTTTGACTTTTTTCGACACAGTATGGTGAGAGATTTTAGAAGTGGGATTGACTAGATGCTTAAGAACATGTGTTGAACAGGGAGGGGTTAATCTTGCAAAACAGAGGAATGTGTCAGAGAAGTTCAACCTCATGCCAGAAACACAATTAGAGGAGTGTGTCAGAGAAGTTAATCAACCTCATGCCAGAAACACGATTCTTAACACAAAAACTGAACCAATTATTATTATGCATGATAAAAGATAACATCAAGTCATTGAAAACGTATCGGTTCAGACTTACCTTTTCCTGCTATACTTCTTATGTCTTGGAGAATCCAGAGCTCAGTCGCGTCCTTGTGTATTTGTAGTCTTTGCAGCTTCTATGGCACAGATGTGACAGTCCTGCCCCCTCACCGTATTTATCTCCTTTCTCACTGCAACTCAGTAAGTAATTTAGTTATTTATAACAGAGCTGAGCCTCACAAGCATGACATAAAATACAATGTTTAAGATTAGAATTACCGTAATCTGTGCTCCACTGCTCTTCAAACAAGAATCTGATCTAAAGCTGACAGTTGGCTTGTCCAACAGGAAACAAATATGCAAAAAGTGGAATTCTTAGCATCACTGATCTCAAACTCATTTGATGGTGCACATTTTTAAGAATGTTCCTCTGAAAAAATTGTAAACAATTTATTATAACAGGTTTCCCCCGTGCATTATTAAAAGATTAGTAAGATAAATGTCAAAATTTCAACAAATCAATCATAAACATCTCCCAGGTTCATATTCTGTTGATTGGACATCTGTAATTCCAAAAATCGGAAATGAAATGAACTGGCATGATCCATAAATACTGACTGCTACACAGTGTGCTTAAATGTGGTGTCACATTTCAGAACACAACCTATTAAGAGTTATATGCACTCACACTAATGCACATCGCCACATATTTCCAGGTGAACATACTTACATTTTTTTAGAGCATAAAAAATATATAAGGCTGATGAAGCGGGAAAAGTGTGCCAACCAAAAACATTTAAAAATTGTAATTCTGCTTTGCTATTTCAGTGTAGCACTTTTTTTTTTGTTTTAACAAAAGCATGGTCACTGCTTCTTAATAACGGCTCTCATCAGCTACTTTGCTAGTCTTATCCAAAAACAACTGAATCATTGATTGCCCACTATATAATGTGAGAAATAGAGTAGTCTACAATTGAATACGTTGATTGGCTTGATGATCTAAACGATAAGGGGTGTTGAAGAGCAGCCTATACCATGATGAATACTAAAATCTGAATGCAAATGGAAATAAGCATGACCTAGGTGGGCAGAAAAAGCTCTCAATCAAAATAAATGAACCTGGATCATATTTTAGATGCTAGATTTTTACAAATAGCTGGAAAATGTTTACTCTAAAGTCATGTTTGTTTTGATTCCCACAGGCTCTTGTTTCTGGGTGGCAGTTTTGCAAGGCCAGGTGGTGGGCATCGTGGCAGCGCAAGGTCGAGAAGACGACAACACCTTGGAACTCCGTCGAATGTCTGTGGACTCTCGCTTCCGTGGAAAAGGCATCGCCAAGGCCCTGGGTCGACGAGTTCTAGAATTTTCCATGTTAAACAACTTCTCAGCCGTGGTTTTGGGAACAACTGCAGTCAAGATGGCCGCCCACAAGCTGTACGAGTCTTTGGGTTTCCGGCGAGTGGGGGATACTGACGACCACACGCTGCCAGGCATGACCCGCTCACCGCTGGAGAGGCTCTTCTTCCAAATTCGCTATAGTCGGTACCGATTGCAGCTTCACGAAGAGTGAGAGACAGAGGGTTACCATGAGCGCAGAAGATAGAATAAAAACGACAATGCCGGCAATGACCCTGAACCACCCGCTGATCCGGTCCTCCTCTTCTACCTATTTATTTATATTTTTGTTTCATTTTTAAAAAGTCATATCTATTCCTACAACCTTTATTTTTATTCGTTTTTATGCTCATTGTTTTTCGAGGGGGTTTAGTGGGACATTTCATTTCTTTGACGTTTCTGCTCTTAGACTTTCTTTTCATGGTCATCTCGCCCTGAAACACCATAAACAATTGAATAGCCCCTAATGATTTTATCTTATTGGGATATGATGTGAATTTGTTCGCAGACACAAATCAACCAAGGCAGCTTAATTCTGCCTTTGACCTTTTTCCAATCAGAGTAGCACAGACCACTATAAACACAGTTCAGGAAGCAGTGGATGTAGAAACTGGAGGAAAGGAGGCAGTAAAGATCAATTCACCTTGTCTGATGCCACCTTCCTCTTGACAAGTAGGTTTGAACGTTGCAACAGCAGCAGTCTGGTGGAGTCAAAAAGTCCATCCAATTGTAACTTTTAGTCCAAAGCACAGCATTTTCAACTGTGTCTAACTGATGAACAAAAACAGCTAGAAATGTGGTATATTATCAAGCCAGTGATTTATATCCTTAAGCACCCTTGTCTAATAGGTTACGATAACAACTTTGCAATATAATCTTGATTTGTTTTGATGGTTAAGCAGGTTCCTATAGTGCTGAGGCACAGTTTTAACATTAAGAAATAACCAGAAAAACATAAACGCTCTTTCATGTTAAAGAAAACTATATAGATTTTTTTCCCACATTTGGCTGACTTTAAAGTTGCAGTCAGTGAAATTCACGTTTACAAAAATAAAATAAAAAATCACTTTAAATTTGATTATACACACATTTCATATCCCTATCTATTGGAGTACTGATTTGACGAAGCTTTAATAATGACTTGATTAAACTTTGTATACTTTGTGGATAATTTGGTTTGGTAAAAAATACAAAATTGCTTAAACTCTCTGATATCGCTCTCCCAAAGCGAAGTCTAAAATACAAAAACATAAACAAAAAAAGCAAAAAACAAATGCGATCAGACTCCAAGTGTATTTGAATTAAACTTGGGTGGCATAAAGGCAGCAATATGATGATAAACCTGAAATTAAACTAGGCACAAATCTAAACTTGGATAAATATATATAAAAAGGATTGTATACGTATACAATATCTAAGGCTTTATATTCTGCAACTACTCAATGTATATGTAAAATGATTGAAAACATATATATAAGACATACTCAAAATCTCTCTCCGTCTCTATCCTCTTATCACAGTACCAGCAGAGGGAGAGAGACAAACCACAAAAAGCCTCATCTGTGACAATGTTGTATAAAGTTAAGAAACTAAATGTGATTTAAAAATACATAGTAGTAACATGTAGTGCAAAAAACAAAAACAAACATGATCATTGCCAGTTTTCCTTGACTTTAACCCCACCCCCATCCAAAAATCGAACTGCAACCCTGGGCCAGACCTCTCCCTCCTTTACGCCCCCACCCCCCTCTCTCTGCATGCGCCACGGAGTCTTGTTGCACCGCCCTTTCCCCCATTCTAGCTTGTACTATCTATCCCCATTCTTCTGTGATGTCACAGTAGCAGTGTGGAGAGTTGTGGGCATGGCTTAGAATGCGAGATGGGCGGGGTCAACCAAACAATAGGATTACCCACCAGCTTGCTGCTTCAATGACATCACAGCTGCCAATAGTAGAATGCAAGAGCAATGCAAGTATGTGGCATGCCTCTGTACCTGGTTTGTGCGTACGGTGCCTGCCCTGGAAAAGAAGTATATTTAAAAAATATGTAAAACGAGCTTCTTCTTTTTTTAACTGAACATATAACAAATATGTGTTTCATTGTTCAAAGAAATTGTTGTTGCATGAAACGTCTATGAATGAAAAATGAGCAAGAAAATACCATATTTAACATGGCAAGTCTTAAAAGTTGAGCCATTTCTTTTTTCCATGTCATTTTTGTTCATTCTAAAAATCTTGAGTTGTTGTCATCTTTTAGGATATTGCGAGATGTTCTTTTTTCATCATCAAGAAGGCCTTGAAAATTATTTAACTGAATGCGCTGTTTTGATTACAGAGAAGCTACGTGACGCGACGCTTCTCACATCACTTGAGGACATCCCTATGTTAGCCATGTGGTTTGAAATGAACAATTTCAAACAAGAAAGCAATTCTGTAGTGACAACTTTGCCACTTGTGTGTGCCAGTCAAATTAGACATAGCATTCACCTGTCTCCCTTAAAATGGACTCATTGAATGGATATTTGAATGTACAGTACAAATATCCTTAAGAAGAAAGGTTAGGCTGATCAAATCTGTGATGGGATATTTAAACATGAATTCCTGTGTAAACCCAAAGCAAACAGGCTACAGATCACACTAACCTGATATCTTGTGAAACAATTGCCAAAACGATCAAACACAAATGTAATGCAGAATGAAAATATACAAGGAGCAATTCCAAATTAAGAAATCAGTACCAGATCAACAGAAAATACACACAAATGATTAACCAGAGAGCTGGCAGATTTGAATGTACACGGCAATCAGCAATGTATTATGTATTTTGAAGATCCAGATTTGAACAGTGATTGATGTAATTGAGGGTTATTTTGCTATGAGTGTTATTCTTCTGTAGAGCAACTGCCTTGAAAAACCTTAATTTATTATTCCGAATGCAGTTAGCATGGGATTGGGAATTTTATCTACAAGGTGCATGTATTGTTGCCAGATTGAAGAGAGAATTAATGCTAAAATTGCAAGCAAGTGCAAGAACATGATTGTGTGATTGCTTGTGTTTAACTAACATGCTGACCAGTTCCTGATCATGCCGCTGGTTTTGCACATGCTAAAACGTTTGCACATGCTAATGGCTCAATTAAATTGGATTTATATATACAGTACAGTTAGTGTCCTATGTGGGTTTAGACTGGTGACTCGATTGGCTGGTGAATGTCTGTGAATGTGAAAGTTGGAGCAGTACTCAAGAAAAAAGCTGGTGTTGAAGTCTCAAAAAGAAGAAATAAAGTGCATTCTGATACATTAGTGTTAGAAAGAACAGGCTTTCAAGATTGACCTGGGTAACCTGCATGAATAAGATGGCTGCTAAGAATGTTTCACTTAACAGAGAAGGGAGTCAGAGAAGATTCACAATGGTAGATGGTCTTGCTTCATTACTATCACCCTTCAGGTGAAGCATGGAACAAGCCAAGACACCAAAATGTGGAGCTGCTTCCTCTTTTCATTTTTTTGGGTTGAAAGCACTCACTTATTGTGTCTTCAAGTGCTAAGGGGGGTAGTGCCACTTGTAGCACAACTTTCTGATTGTTGATTGTTGAAAAAAACGCGAAGGGTTTGTCTCATGTGCTTATCTATGATTTACTACAATGTATCAACAGTATTTGCCAAAGTTAAGATGTTTGCTGTATTTCCTTATTTTGCCATTTGTCTTTAAGATAAATTCATCTTTGTAGAATTCATTTGAAAATCAAGCCTATGTGCCATTTTATAAAGCAATAATGCAAAGTATCACAGTTGGGGAAAAAAAAAACATAACAAGAACATGATCCATGAGATTATATAAATGTTCAAATGCTGCATTGATGTTCAATTCCTCATACTTTACTGGTGACAGCCGCTAAGATGTTATTAGTAATGGCACAGCAACATCACCATGGGCAAGCCAAGGCCTGACAAAGTGTGAATGTGAATTTTCTTTTTTGTATATTCATTTTTTTTTTTTTATATTTCCTTAATTCTAATTACAACTAACATGTTTACTTGCATCTTGAATTCTTTATTTTATGGTTGATTTTTACGTTGTACTGATACGAAGTCCACGAAAATAAGCAAGAAACCTTTGTGACCGAGTGATGTCATGGGCCTCTGAAAGTTACGTCAAGCTCTGAACCACAATTGGTTGGTCTTAAAAATCACTGTCTCCTGATTCACGAGGAGTGCAGTTTCCAACAATCTGTGACGGCAATCAACACCACACAGCCAGTTTTACAAGTGGCACAATACGCACAGGTTCATATTAACAAAGCTTTATGATTTTTCTTGAAAACAATTAACCTTTTTTATTAACATTTTTAATATATGTAAAGCTGTAAAGTGTAATTTACTGTAAATAGCATTTGGGGACATTTTGTGATCGTTTTGTAACAGAAACTATATGAATATAATTAAGAAGTTTACAAAAAAAATCAACAACAACAACAAATACAATAATACTCTTTGGGAAACAACCGCAAACTGAGACATTTCTAACTATACAATCTGCTTACATCTGTGCCAGTCAGAGAAGCAAAAGCAACTTTCAGAGTCCCTGCATCTTCTGGCACTTATTAGGGGCTCTTAGAAGCATTGCAAAGTGCCAGCAGGTTACTAATTATTTTAAATGATAGCTAATTTATGGGTAAATCACTTTGGAAATGTATGGCACTAAAACAATTTCTCAAGTTGGGAGTAACACATTTTTCTTTCCTTTAGAAATGCTTATGTTTACAGTTTCTGGTATGAGTTGACGTTAGTTGCCCCATTTTGTCAAGTGCGTTAAACACATTTCAGTCATTGGCTGCCTGTTGCTATAGAAACAAGCCCATACAAAGCACAGCAGGGAAATGATATGCAGCCATACATGGGGCGGGTCAGTAGCAACAAAATGGGGCTGGTTTTAGTATGATAATGGGCAGAATGGAGTTTGGGGAAAGAAAAGGGAGGTTTTAGTTTTTCAGCATGGCAAATCTGACCTTGCTTTACCCGTTTGGTCGCAGTGATCACCTGGTTCTTTGAGTCTGAAATCATTGTACTGCCTGGGTTTTCTTTGGATTTTTTTTTTTAACTGCTGTTTACGTTCCCACCTTTTCTCTTTTTCTTTCATTTCCTTGATACACAGGAACATTGTAAAGATGTAAAGAAAAGTTTTCCTGATTTATGAAAGAAAAGGATGTACATACTGTATCAATTAAAGGAATGATGCATAAAGCTTGTGCATGTGTCTGAAGTTGCATGCGTACACATGTACAAAATTAAATAAAAAAAAAAACACGTCTCGTTAAATAAGGCCAAAATTATATACCTCTTTTGATTTCAGCAATTTGCACACAAAAAAGCCATAAAACAGTTCATAGTCATAAGTAATATACAAGGCTTAAATAATTTGTGCAAAACATGATCTCATTATTGACCCCATCACACATTCAAAAGGATCTTCTATGCCAATTCTCAGTGAGTACCTAGCATTAATTAATGATTTTGAGAAAGAACAAACAGATCGTGACCTAGCATGGTAAAATGTATCTATTCTCAGTGCCAGCCCATTAAGACAGGATTTCAGTGATATGACATTCAGAGAGGGTAAATCATAGCCTTTAAAAACACAACAGCAACAAGCACAGAGGCTGGAACATTTTTCAAGGGTGTGTTTGTATTGATAGGGGGCATTACGAAGGGACACAAGATCTGACGCCACAGACAGACACTGAAAATCTGGGTCAGTGTGTGTGTGTGGACTGTGTACATGTGAGAAAGGCCAGTGGGAGCTGCTAAACGAGTTGCGAGGTGCCGTGGAAACGGACGGGATAAGATTAACAGGTTTAAAATGGAGTGAGAGAGACTCACTAAATGAGGACTGAGTTTATTAATATTCAGCAGGAGACAGACGTTCCATCATAGCAGCTGAGAAACAGATAGCACTGCCAGTAATACAGTTGAAATTAAGCCCGTTAAGGACAGAGGCTCATATTTATTTATTCACTGAATATGTGAGTTGACACATATTGAATATAAGATGGACAAACATTGAAAATGAACAAAGAACACAGACTTATTAGCTACTTCTATTCTCATGCAAACAGATCTAAACCTCTGAATAACAGTGAAAGGTTAAAAATGATTGAAGGGAAGCCCCCCAAAATAGCAACTGGTATGATCCAGTCTGTTCCTACCGTTGCCCTCAGATACATCAGCGAGAACATGAATTGGGAACTGCAGCTGCTCGGTTACCATAGTAACGGGATGGCGAGGAAGAGCGGGAGACTCAGACGGAAGTAGCTGTAGTGGTGCAGGGGAGGTTCATCTCACACATTGAGCCCCATGACCGTCCTGTGGCCAGTGAGACTTTGAGGGGCACCTGAGAAAAGAAAGAAATGAACTGCCATCACTAGATCCTCTATATCTTTTGACCTACATCTGCTGCATCGTTTAGTTTTATAGTAAATTAAAGCTAGGCTGTAGGATAGAAGGCCATCTGGAAATGTAATTCAGCTTAATTAGGTTACCAATCAAACGCTGTGACACAGCAAATCGCTTTTGTAGTGGACAAATCTGTTTGATGGTCTGTCTGATATGATTAAGGCTTCTATTAGAGTAATAAAATGCTGAAGATTCTGGATAGATCGCAGCGTGTTCTCTACATCCAGAAACCCGTCTTCATACTAAGAAAAATGATTGTCTTTTAAATAAAGCTGTGTGGATGTTCACTTACAGAGATATTCACTTCCAAATCTGCAATGTGCTGAAGAGATTCCATGGTCGTCTTCACCAGCACTGTTTAATGTTCACCAACATAAGATTCACAATTTTGAATGGAATGGAAATTACTTTTTGTCTCCTAACTAATATTCTGGGTAAAATACTAGTTATGCTCTATTGACAGCATTTGCAGCATAATGTCAATTACCACCATAGTTATTAGAGTTAACTAAAATTATTAAAACATTTTTGCTGATTGCGTTTCTGGGATCTAATAAACCTAACAAAAGCACATAATAAACTACACATTAAACTAAAATATAAATCTCTTAAAAAGCTAAATCAAATTATTAATAAAAACTATAGTATGTTAAAATGAGACTGATTACCTCAGAAAATAATTCAGAGATAATTTACTCAGAACTAGTTGAAATTAACTTGTATTTCACCCAGAATATTCCTTTCAAGTTCATATAACAGGACATGTGAGGTTTCCCTCACCAGCAAACTCTTCCAATTGTGAGATCTCCACTTCAAACAGCAGCTCATCATGGATTTGAGCCACCAGCCTAAAAAGAACAAGACACACAGAAACTAGAACAGAACTATCCATCTTAACATGGGGATATAATGACCAGACCATGACCACTAAACCATGATGCGTTTAGTTTCTGGAATGTGACGCTGATATTACATTAAAAGGTTCAGTAATCTTATTGCTCTACATTGGTCTGGATACGATCTACTGCAGACACATCTCCTAATACTCACTGAGAGGAATCGAAAGAGACTTGGTGGGAGGGGTGCGGAGATAGAATAAAGAGGGAGGGATAGAGAGATGCTAACAAAGATAAATGACTGTAATATAGAGCTGCACTGCAAGTTGAGTGATTCACACAGATAGGCTGAGAGAGAAAGATAAAGAATCAAGGGATATGCAGAAAGAGAAATATATATATATATATATATATATATAAAACTTGTCATTTTAAAAATATATTACCAAGTATAAATTAGCATAAAACTAGACTAATAAATGCTGCAAATGTACTGTTCATTGTCAGAAAATAATACCTAATGCATTTAAGAGATTGTTCACAAAAAAAGAGAAAATTCTGCCATTATTGACATCTTCATGTCTTCCTAAACCTATATGACTGACTTTCTTCTAGGTTGTACGTTTGTTTGTTTTTTTTTGCACACAAAAAGTATTCTCATTGCTTGGTAAACTTAAGATTGAGCCTCTGTAGTCACTCTGACTATTTTAACAATGTCTTTCATTACTTTTGGGCCGGCCAGTTTCGATCCCTTAAGAAGCCTATGGAGGAGAGATCCAGATCTCATATTTAATCAAAAATATCTTAATTTGTGTTCCGAAGATGAACGAAAGTCTTACGGGGTTGGAACAACATGAGTAATTACTGACAGAATTTTTGGGTGAACTAACCCTTTATTGTTATCAAATGTTACCAAATTTCCCAAATACAAAATGTAGTATTAAGATACACATGGGATTATAAGAGAGGGAATGGAAAACTGGATAGATGAACGGATGGTTGTACCTGGCAGTGTAAGAGGCAGACGACACTTGAGAGCAGATTTTGATCATGGCCATTTTGGCTAGGTCTGCAGCTGAGCCTGAAGGGTCACACACAGTCATTGTGACAATCACAAATGCCACACACACATTACAAACACAAGCAGAGAAACACAATACCCTGTAGTACAAAGTTGACGGCCTGTCTCTCTGCTTGGTTTCGAAGGCTCCAGTCAGCAGAGTGAATGTGAGGGAGGGAACGGCGCCTTCCCATTATGGACTTCACAAATCCTAAGGCATCAATAAGAAAGAACATACACAGCAACTTACACACTTTCAACCTTATTATACTCAGTCACTCATTCACACACAGACTCTTTACGAATCACTCATGCCAGTGCATTCCTGGGTAAGGCAGACAATAGGTCAAGCTTTACACATAAACCCCTGATGGAAAAGAGTGAGGTCAGCTGGTGGACTCATTTGGAAAATCTTTTTCCCAGAAGCACAGAGACGCCAGGAGTTATGGGACACAAAGAGAGACCACTGCATGTATATGTGTAACAGTGTTCAGGAATGTGTGTGGCTCAGTGTAGGCGCATCATATGTACTGACAACACTAATGACACATCACTGGAATGTGCTACTGTGTTTCTCTGCTACTGAGGATTATGAACAGAGCACGTGTGTTGTTTCTGTATGTTTTGACAAATGTTTGTCAGGCGTATCCTAATCGAAGTGTATGACAGTAAGTCATCACCCGTAGAGGTCACATTTCAAAGTTTGTGTACTGAAATAACATACAGTGGCCACATATATTTGCATAGTTCACACTTTAAGGGATAGTTCACCCCCACATAATTCCAAACCTGTTTGACTTCTCTCTACAAAACACAAACGACAATATTTTGAAGAATTGAACAATTTTGTCCATACAAAGAAATTTCAGTGGGGTCCAAAACAACAAACATTTTTTATTATATGGGTAAAAAAAATATACAAAATAATATTAAAAATAAATAAAATATTTCAGGTTCCACAGAAGTCAGTCAGTCACAGGGTTGGAAAGACGCAAGTTTCAACAGAACTTTCATTATTGGGTGAACTATCCCTTTAAGACACTTCATTTTATTTTATTGCATTACATAATATATAAAACCAATATACAATAAAACCATATTTGCAGTTTTAACCAACTGTGACCATTCAGAGGTTTGTATCACATCAACTACCTACAAATTCATGCAGGTGTCCTAGTAGGTCAGATTAACCATACTATTTGACAAGCAGAAGCCTCTTTTTGTAAGTTATTGCATCATAAGTAAGTTTGTGTCATATTTCTTTGAAAATGTCATTTAATTTAATATTTTGTTCATGAAATGACACGCATATGTTTTTGTGTAGCTTAAAGGGACAGTCTGCCCAAAATGAAAATTCTGTTATTGTGCGAGACACAAAAACGATATTTTGAATAATGTTGGTAACCAAACTATTTTGGTGACCAGTCTGACCACTGACCATTTTTTATGTAATTCCTCAAAACATTTTCTTTAATAGTTTCACATAAGTAAGATACAGTTTGGAACAACATGGGTGTGAGTAAATGATGACATCATCATTTTTGGATGAACTATCCCATTAAGTTTCCAAATATCTTTTGTGTTCACTGTAGTTCAGGCCCTCCATCAAAGCATGCATCAGCAGGTAATAAGTCATTCTACTTTTCAACTCAAGAGACCAGACTGATGCAGGATCTTTCTTATTCACATTAAACTACACAAAATCAAGTCTCCAAATAAAAAGACAGCACATAAAGTCTCCCTGAACAGAAGATTAGACTGGTCCTGGAACACTCTGTTCTAGAACAGATCACTGAGAGACAAAGCTCAGGTTTTAAAGCCCTTCTCATTTTCTTTTTCTTTAATATCTTTCCTCCCCTATCAAAACCTGATAAATTTCCCAGCAAAATGATAGCAGGTGTTTTGTTGCTGTGCAGACATGTCAATACCTCCAGTATTGATCGTGTAATGAGCGCACTGGCTGAAACTTGCAGTCCCGAGCCATCAGTTTCACATTCTAAGCTTCCTCTGAACATTTCATTCATTTTATAAGCTATATGTAAACTAACAGAATGCAAACAAGATCATCAGCTATTAGAAGAGGAACATTGACAATAAATATATATTTTTTGGATTGATTCTGACTGATTTTCTGATTGAATACAGTAAAATACAGTGAAATCTAGGAAATGTTTGATAGCAAAGGTACTTTCAAAGTCTCAGTAATTTTTCATTGGTAAGAGCGAATGCTTTCTCTCTTAATTCCCATTATATTCGTGTCTCCTTTAAATTTCAGCTGACATGGAGAAGATTTCTTTCAAGGACAATTATTTTCCACTCCATTGCCAGTTAAAAGATACCCATTGGTTGTTACTTCTGATCGGTTTATATAAAGTAAACACAAAGCACTGTACATCACAGTAGTAAGATAACTCTGTTTATCAGACTCAATCTGAATAATGCCTGACGAAGATGTAGCTTCAAATCTAACACTGTTTTTCTCCTCCCAAACTTATATATGCCATTACTATAGTATACTTTTCATTATTTGTTAGCTTTTAATTATTCATACTTTATTATTACGTTAGCTTACTTCTACTTAACTGCCTTCTCTATTCTGCAATGGCATACAATGTATTATCATTTCTCATGCCAATACAGCACACCAAACTATATTTAAATTTCAAATGTGTTAATAATAGTAAATATAGCCAGTAAGCTGCCTGCTAAATCTTTTTAAGCAACACTGAGAATGTAGATAAAATATAAATGGCAGCACCAAATGTAACTGTGAGAAACAGTAAGAGAAGTGAAATAATGAGTGTGAGCGACTGTGTGAAGTTCACACAGTGGTGTAAAAACCATGATGTGTGTAATATCAGTAAAAGTGTGTCCTAACGGCAGCTCTAAATACAGTGAGTTTTGTAAGTGAGCGTCAGCTGCTGTGCTGCTCTGCCTAGTTTCTACTCTTCATTTATCACACACACCGTGTTCGTGGCAGTGCTGGATGATGAGCTGAATGAAGGCCGGCACCTCTCTGTACGTCTGTAGGAAAGAGTCCTGAAAACGGCTGGCCTCCTCCGCACTCCCACCCAGAATACTAGATAACCGTTCTCTTCCTGTGTGCGATGGTGTGTGAGAAAGAGGGAGAGAGTGTCAGTGGACAACAGAACAGAAATATTCCAAGCTTAAAACAGTTCAAGGTGAGACAAAAAAAGACTAAAGGAGGTGAGGCACAGAATTATTGGTGAGAAAAAGGCTAAACCCATTCTCCCAATGTTGCTATGGCAACAACTACCATGACAACAAATGAGACAAAAACATGAGAGCACCAAGTTTGACCACTAACTATAACTTCTGATATTGTGTAATATGCGATATAAGTTTGGGGTCATTAAATTTTTTTTAAAAATAAATTAATTAATACTTTTATTTAGCAAGGACACAGTATATTGAAAATAAAAAAGACATTTATAGTATTACAAAAGATTTCTATTTCAAATAAATTTTTCAAATAAAGAGTCCTGAAAGAGTGTATCACTGTTTCCACAATAATATTAAGCAGTCGACTGTTTGAGCACCAAATCATCATATCAGAATAATTTCTGAAGGATCATGTGACACTGAATGATGCAACAAAAAAAAAAAAAAATCAGCTTTGCCATCACAGTACTAAATTTTCTAAAAAATATTAAAATAAACAAGTTTTTTTAAAATTATAATATTTCCCATTTTGAATCAAACAAATGCAGCATTTGAGCTTCTTTTTTTTACACCCCATTTTATTATCCATAAGGCAAAAATGTCATCATCAACACACCTTTTTTCATTACACTACTGTGCACTACTTAGCTTTTCATTAAGCTGTGTGCCATGGTTCAATACCAAGGTCTAATGGTTGGTTCAGATCTCTAACCCTAATTATAGTGTTAATATAATAACAATGATGCTTAGAAAGCAGCACTAATAAATACCTAAGGAACACAGTAGCATCACACATAGGGTAGCTACTTGCATAACTCCAACCAATCAAAATACAAAGAATTTGTCATCAGTCCAATTACAGTAACAACTAGCCGCATGACATGTGACTTACTTTACGCAAAGTGACCTGTTGAATAACATAGGGCAGAGTTCATATACAAGCGAGACTCGGGCTAATTTTCATCTGACCTTCTGTCTGCCTGTAATTGAGATTATTTATAGATAGAGACTAGAGTGAATATATCAAGCATGTGAGCAGGGAAATGAAGATGGCAAAAGTTACGCAGGTGAGATGAAGAGTGTGTGTCTGCATTCTCACTGGTTGAGATCATTTGCTCTCTGGTGCTCCTCCTTTTGCCAAATTACTCCAACCTCTCCACCTCTAAATCATCCTTCTCTCAGGGATACTCAACAGTTAGCCTCTTATAGTCTGACCCAATTGTGTGTATGTGTGTGTGCGTGACCAGCCCATCTCCCACACCTATGAGTGTGTGTGTGTTTATTTTTGATTATCTCCCATGCTACACCTCCTTTTAGTATTCTGTAACCATGGCAATCCATCGCTTTCTGCAAGATTATCAACATATGCCAACACTGTGGCGCTCCCACCCCACTTATCTCACTCACTTTCTACCAGCACTCAGTCACACAATATTGCCTTCCTCATGCTGTCTCTATTTCTCAGTTTTCCTAAGATGACAGTATGGTAGAAATGAACATGTTTCACTCTGTCGCATCAAGCTTTGTGTCTTTGTAAGAGTGCAATACATGTCTTATTCAGCAACTTAACGCTCACAAACACTTTTTAGTGAGCCACTTGTGAGATGTTGGAATGAAAAATATAAATGAGAGAAAAATAGCAGATATGTTCAAGCTGACCCAGTTAAAGTAAAGTAGAACAGTGACACCCTCCTCCAGTCTCTCTCTCTCCTCCACACACACATAATAAGATTCTTCTCAGGTTGTAGTCATGGAAGCCAGATTCTGGGAGATCTCTGCTAGCAACCACTATGAACAATAGGCTCTCTGCACTTACAGAGCAAAGTCCTGCAGTCTGGGTCACAACTTTTCTCTACATTTGTATCTATCCATATAAATGTCTATCTCTTTCATTTAAAAAAAAATGTACACATCTCTGCTTTGCCTATGCCACAATCATTCCTGTCAGAATGATATTCAAATACAGATAAGTATTTTTGTGTTTTATTCAAACTTGGGACTGTGCATGTTCTTTTAGTGCTGTCGGGGTGTTTTCTTGCAGCTCAATGGTAATTAGTAACATGGTATTTATAGCTCAAAGGAGCCACCATGAGCAAAGATGGTAGCACACAAGACTTCACAATACTGCTTGCAACAGCCACTGGAGAGAAGGTAGTGTGGTCAAAGTTAGCAGAAAAACAAATTGCTTACAGCATTTTTTAAGGCTAGAGTTGCAATGTAAAATAAATGATGAATGTTGAAATGAAGGGACAGCGTGCATGCACTATGGGGAACAGTTCTCACCAGCTCCATAAACCACAGAGTAGACGATACGCTTGGCATGCTCTCTGTCCTCCAAACTCACTGTGTCCTTGCTCACACCCTTCCTAAAGACAGAGACATAGACATTTATGTAATGAAAGTGCCAACAGTGCTGGTATGCTGGAGGCATCAGTGTTTGTGACAGAGAATAAGAGGCTACCAGCAGATGTCTTACTGAATAAAAGCAGCGGCTACTGTTAAGTCAGCACTTTATAATATCAAAATCTTGGCTCTTTGTAGTAAGCAACAAACAAACACATAAAAAAGGAACATGCTAACAGAAATACTGGGACGATCTGGGGTCATTAGTAAGTAAGTTAGAGAGTGGGGGCACGAATCCATCCTCAAATACATACTGGGCTCATGTCAGCAATCACATTACACTTTGTCTTGACAGGCCTGTCTCCGTGTGCTATGGTAACTGTGGAGATGTGAGCATCAAAATGATCGGCTATCATCTCTCTCGATTGCCTCTCTGTTTTGCTCTCTGTCTGGTTCACTGCACACAGCCGCAGGGTGAAAAACACAGACTGGTACTGCAGGACTCTTTGCCCTCTTCACAGCCTGTTTATTACCCTTCATGTGTGTGACAACTGGAACAAACACGATTCTTTAAACACTTTTTACTTTACTCTCCGAGACTAATATCTTTTAATTTGTTAGCATCAACACAACAAAAAAATTACCTAGCACTTTCATTAAAATATAAGACATCAGTATAATACAGATTCAAAACCGTAATATTGTAAAATATTATTACAGTTAATACAATGGGTTTCTATTTAAAAATTTTAAAATGTAATTTATTTCTCTGATGGCAAAGCCGAATTTTCAGCATTCATTACTCCATTAGATTTGGTGCTTAAAAGGGGTCATATAATGCCTTTTTTGTTAATATGTCTTTTTTATCATTATAGGACGGTTGTGTACAGGCACTGCCAACACACATTTCAGTACAATCAACTTGTAAAAGAGCATGTACCATTATATGACCCCTTTAAGAAACATGTCTTATAATTATCGTCAATGCTGAAAACTGCTTAATATTTACGTATGTGTACACATTTGATGTTGATAATTTTTTTTTTTTTAAGTAAAGTTATTCATTTTTCATACTGACCCCAAACATGTTAGTGTATATCTGTGTATACCCACCATTGGGCCGCCAGCATAGTGAATGCGTCTGCCTCAGGGTTCTGAAAGATTCTCAGTAACTGTGGGTCAGCTGACAGGTGAGCCAAGAGACGCAACTCAACCTGACAGAAATCTAAAAACACACAGAGACAGATGTCATATTGACCTCCAAATTTAATCTTCAACCACACAACATTTCTTATAACTCTCCTTCCTATTAACAAGATAAAGTGGGAGAAGTTAGCAGTGAATGGTGTATGTTGGCATCTCTCCCATCAGTGTCAGTAGGAACAGTAATGCACCTATCAGCTTCTCCTCCAGATAAAAGAGAATCTGAGAGGATAAGTAAGGATAAGTTAAGGAAGGGTGTGTGAGAGATAGAGAGAGAGAGAGAGAGAGTGTGTTTATACTGAAGTGACAACACTGACTCATCTTCATACACACCAACACTGGCACCCAACACAGTGCCATTTCCTGTTTTTGGACAATTAAATAAACTATGTGCTGTGTATTAGTGTTTGATTATATTGAATTTAAAGTCATTTGAGAGTATGTTGAGCTTTATTTACTAAGGTATAAAGGGTGAGAGATAGATTCTGTAACACAACAGTTTTTTGGGAAGGAGGGAGTAGTGGCTCATCTTTGGCAGAAGCAGCAGCTCAAGTGAAAGTTAATCTGATCTAAACTGTCCAGCAACTGAGCGGTCAAATGGACAATGAAGATTGAGCTCTGCAGTTTTGATGCATTTCATCTCTAAAAATGAAGACAAATCAATTTGTGTATGCGTTTCCCCATTTACGATAACAGAACATTAATGGATAATGAATAAATGAACAGTGTCAATCTAATTATGAAAGAGCAGCATGCGGCCATGCCAGGGGACACTGTCAGTCAAAGAGCCAGTGAAGATTATCCGTCATTTCCTCTGCTATCTGCAAAATGAGACACAGTCAATCTTTTCCAGTAGTAAAGACCATGGAACAAACAAGAAATCAGAATAAATTGTGAGTGGAGATTGCCTGTGCAAAACTTTCCATCATGATGGTAAGGTGGTGTTAAGATCAGCAAAATTTGTCATTTCAATTTTCAATAGGAATTTCAGTTGTGTGATGGCAGAAAAGTTCCCATTGGACGTTCACATTGGTCAAGATTAAAGTTGCTTCATGTTTTGCTACACTATTGACCATTGTACCATTCTCTGCCCACAAAATGTATATAAAATTTTGCAAATGTTACTCCACCTTGAAGATGTTCTGGGTCTCAGGTGTCTATGATATTCTGGTTCCTAGATATAGCTAGCTGTTGTTTTTTACACATTTTTTCGCTATATTGACTGGAAAATCAATGGCGCACTCTTATACAAGTTGTGCGAGAAGAGTTATGTGCTATGGTTTAAAAATGTGGTGTTACACCAATATTCATCATTTTCTTATGTCCTGTCCTTTTAGTGCCTGATGTCATCTATGGTCCAAAAACTAAATATCTAGGAATAAGAGCAAGTTCCCTTTACTCTGAGCCAGCTAAATTAAGATCTATTAGATAACATATTGAAGAGCAGCGGCTCTGTTAAGACGAGCCTGGTCCTAATGCAAAAATAGCCCGTACATTGATTTATAAATTAAAAGGTGGCCTTAACATACAAAATCAATGACTTCATAAGCAGTGTGCTCAGACACCAGATAGATGACTCTCCTTGTTCAAACAGATGCAAGCTCCCTGTATGACTGATTTGACAAGACATGCAATTGATCTGTTAATAAACAGAAAAAAAACAAAACAATAAAAAACAGTTATTTTAGTAAAGTATGGCTACTATAGTATAGTATATACATAGTAATATTTATATACTATTTATTTATCCAAATAGCTTTTATTTTTACTTTAGCTTTATTTAAAGTTTAGTAATTTTGATTTTCATTGTATGTTATTGTTTTATCAATATTTAGCTTTATTAAATTCTATTTTAGTTTTAGTAATTTTAGCACTTCAACATAACAGCACTTCAAACTTATTTTATTTCATTACTTGCTAAGGCAACATTTCTATTTTTAGAAGCTTTAAAATAAAATACAGAATACAACCAACAAATATATGAATATATAAAAAGTCTAAGCTACACTTAGTTTCTATATTATACAAGCTCAAATCTAATAAAAAAAAAAAAAATTAAAAAAAATTAAAATAAAATAAAATGTAAAAATATTCCAGACAGAGCTTTGGTTCTTAAATGGCACATTTGAATCCATCCACCAATACTTTTCCATCTCCTCTCTCTCTCTCTCAAAAAAAAGAGAAAACGTAAAAAAAAAACTCACTCAAAAAAGCTGTGGCTCTATCTAGTTTGTTGTTTGATGCACCTCTCTCCTCGGTAAGCGGAAAGAGGGCTTCCAGTACAACATGAACATATTTATTGAAAGGTGGTATTGACTGATGGAGCAGTTACGAAAAAGGTTGCAAGCCTTTTGGGAATGATGTTGAAAAGTTTTAGTAGAAAAGTACCTGACATGAAAGAATAAAGTATTATTATCTGATCTGAAGGCTCAGCGGAGAGTTCAGTTGAGATGCAGGGGATAAAATAGAGGGAGTTCATTCTGTTCTAAAGAGGCCACCAGACAAGCAGGGAACGAGGGATGACTTTGTCCTCATTCTAGCCTCTCTGTTCTCCTTCCGGAAACAGCCGGACACATTGTACGATTGGATGTGACAAGGCCACCACAGGGACAGGAACTCAAACAGCTACTGAATCAGCCTCCGCGCAAACACACACACACACACACAGGTCAACAAACATAAAATGAAATCCTCCTGAGGCTTTAAAATCTCAAAGAGACAAACGACAATTAAGTGATCTCACATCACTCCCCTGTGTTACACACAGAGTTTAAGGGGTTTGTATAACTTTGTTGTCTGGCCAAAAGACGAGATTGTGGGCCAGAACAGGCTGTTTCAAAGGTTGTGAGTAGGCTATCGCCATGGGGTCTGAAGGCTGGCCTCTTCTACTGCAGGTTACACTGTCCTTGCCATGACACTTATGTAACAACACACTGACACACCTCACACACACTCACTGCTGTCAGAACAAAAAAAAAAATACCCAGACGTACAAGGACTTGTCCTAAAAACACCATTATTGCTGTGCACATCACAAACCTTTACAAACTAAATAAAACATCAACAAGAGGTTTCGAAAAGAAAAGTTTGGCTTTTCAGAGACACTCACCTGCAGAGAGGAAAGTCCAACCCTCCCGTGGAATGAACATGGCACGTGGGTGCACAGTCACTACATCAGAGTTCTTTCCTATACACAAAACAATAGCAATAAAATCATCAGTTAAAACACATAATAGAAATGAGGCAGACTTCTTACACAATAAACCTTGTGACTGAAACAAATACAATTTAAGCTCTAAAATCACAAAGCAATGTCATCAGGGATGCTTGATATAGTACACACATAGTTATCAGCTGATATAATTTCTCTTAGATTTACATTTTGATTTCTTTTTTCCCATCATCTAAAGCGGACAACGTTAATTATTAAAAACACCTCTAACTGAATAACATTTTTTTTAGCAAATCCCCAAATTAATATCTTGTTTTCATACTGTGCCTTATAATGCTGTGGCATATAACTGAATTGATTTTAGTTTTTAGAGTTTTTCCTCTTCGTCGCCTTCTCTGTTCGAAATTTGCAATCGCAGTTATTTGCGAAATCAACTTATGGGTTGTGCCTCAGCTCGGCAATGATGAATCCACTGTTTTGAGGAGAATGTTCGGCTGTCAGTCACCGCACCGGTGCGGATACTGTCATTCAGAATCACAGATTCTACTTTTTGGAAGTATGAACAACTTAAAGGGATACTCCACTTTTTGGAAATAGGCCCATTTTACAACTCCCCCAGAGTTAAACAGTTGAGTTTTTACCCTTTTCGAATCCATTCGGCCGATTTTCTGATATTTAGAAGAATATCAGTAACCAGAGAGTTTCTGGTCTCATTGACTTCCATGGTATATATTTTTTCCTACTATGGAAGTCAATGAGACCAGAAACTCTCTGGTTACGGATATTCTTCTAAACATTTCTTATTGTTATCAATGCTGAAAACAGTTGTTCTGCTTAATATTTTTGTGGAAACCATGGATTATTTAATGAATAGAGCATCTATTTAAAATATATATTTTTTGTAAAAAATCTAAACATTCACATGCATGTGAGTTTCTAATTACATTCATACTTTACCTTGGATGTACTGTTTCTTAGTGATCTGCAGTGGCTGCTTCGGAAGAGCTTGAAAATTCTACAGGAGGAGGAAAGAACCAGTTATTATTCATTTGAAAGCGTCTGATTCAGTCACCCTGAAAAGCACATCACACACAGCGCCTCTCACATCCAATACCACAACACAAAGAGTAGGTTAAATTTAGCCCTGGCTTTAACAAATATGCAGACTTCACAGCGCTTACAAAATGCAAAACGGGGCTGCTATGGCACAATGCAGCGGTGTCTTTCCAATCAGTAAATGAATGAGATCCGTCTCTTACTGGGGTTTTAAATTAATTTCAAACTGTCCCTGGGAAGGAATGTTAAATATGCTTTGCCCTCTATCAGTCTACTGAGGGATAAAAGACACTAATGAGATGAAGAGAATAAAGTATTAATCTGGTAAAGTCATGATAGCTTTTTGAATATGAGATCTAAACTGTTTGGTTGACAGACGGTCTGCTGTCTCAGGATCTGAAACCGACCCCTGGCCTTATGATCTTAAAGCAGAAGGGTGGCATGAATAGTCGGTAGTATAACCATCATTGGTCCTACTTTTCCTCATCTTTAAAGAACAAATTAAGCTCTCAGGATCTAGGAAAAGAGCTGCTCAGCACTCATGTGTTTGTGTGAGAGAGACAGAGAAAGAACATGCCAAAGGGAAAGGATGGGATGCCCAAATGTGTGTGAGAGAGTCTGCAGGTAAAAGGTTTGCATCTGTTTTTGTCTGAATGAAAGGAGAGTGTTGGTGGGAAGGTCGGTTCTTCTCTACTCCCAGTGCTTTATTTCAGCGGTAAATCTACAAACGCTGAGAGGGAAGAGATATACAGCTTCAAGGCCAGTCACACACACTCTCCCATTTTCTCATACAAACACAAAACGGCTCCCTCTCAGTTTAACCGTACAGTCATGTGTGTCTTGAATTTGAAGTATTTGCATTACTGAAAGACATTCAAAATTCTTCCTGCATCAAAAATCTTAAAATATCTGTGCTGATCAATTGATTTTCTTTGTTCTGAATAAAAAATGTGAACAGGAACATAGTGCTAGATCAGCATTCTCACACTCACATGATTGACTGCCCCATGTCTACATCTCTATTAGAACTGCAGTATTTGTGATACGATCCCATCCTAAGATCAGCTTTGTGCTGCGGTTTTTAGCATGTGTGTAGGAATGATATGAGCTGATCTCAGGTTATTGTGTGCAGTAAATCTGTTTTCTGGGTGTGATAGATGCTGGTAGTCTGTGAGAGAGGAAGAGCTTTTAATAGCAGCTGAGGCTCTCTGCTTCTATTCGAGTAGCTCTATTGATCGGCAGTAATATAATACATAAAGAAGGTAGATAGAGAGAGGTATAGAGAATCTCTGCACACAAGAGACAGAAAGGGGATAGATCATTCCTTATAATTATTAGTAATATTACTACAACATGGCTCTCTGGAATACCTGAACCTAAGTGGACAACTAGCATTACAGAGTCAAATTCTTTTGTATGAAGATTAATAATTAACCAATCAATTCAAAATTTTGTCCATTGATTTATTTGGTTTGCAGCCAATGCCATTTAATAAGATGGATAATCATGGTCAATCGATCATATGCATAAAATAAAACAATGTTATGAGTGTGAGACTAAACTTTATCTACAGTATACAAATCTATTTGTTGTTATTTTCAATTATTAGGTTTAATTCCTCATTTATTCGTGACAATTCAGTATAACTATAGTCTGAACATAATCACTAAAACATTGAAAAACACTGATTGGATGCATGAACTCAAAGATTGGGGGGAAAAAGAGAAACAGAACGAGCAAAACAAGACAGAGATGGAGGAAAGCGCAGAGGAGGGAGCAGTGGTATTGATCCAAGGATCTGGCTGGACTCAGTGCTTCAACTGACTCTAATCCGGCTTAATCTGGACAAAAAAAAAATTCTGCTTACCATTCCTTTCTCACACAAACACACACAAGGGCACATTAACACTCATACATACACACTGGCACTGAAGACACATTTTGAAAGTCAAGGCTTGAGAGCAATCTTCCATGTACCATTTACTTTCTGTAACCCTGATTCTTGCGTCCCACCTTCTCTCTCTCTCTCTCTCTTTCACTGTTTAGTTCTCTTGCTCCCTTACATACATTCTACACTCTCATGACAGGTGATTTTGGTATGGTAGTGGAATTCAGACTGAAGCAGACACCACTGCTCATCCATAGCTCAGCTGATCAATTATTCAATGTTCAAGAAGTAGAGAACAAGAAAAGGGTAGGTGACGGGGGTTAAATGGACAGTAAAAAAAGAGTCTATGAACGCTCTAAAGCAATTCTTAGTCACCATAATATTAAAATGGACAATTTAAATTTTTAAAGGAATGTAGTAGTGTTTATTATGAGAGATTTATCCGTGCAAATCATTAGGGCCCGAGCACCGATGGTGTGAGGACCCTCTTGGAATAGCTCCGTTTATTATTATTATCATCAGGGGCCAAGCACTGAGGGTGTGGAGGCACCTATTGTTTTCGGGTTTTTTTCTGCTCGAATATTCTTCTTCTATAGCATACTATCCGAGCTTAGTCTGGGTTTCCCCGTGCTGCCTTCCCGCAGCGTGATTTTATTCAGTAAAGGCAGTATGGATACCATGGTCCAGATTTTTGCCTCATTTAGGGAACCAATCACAGAACGGGGAGGGATCAGCAAGACAATGACGACATCTATGCGACACACCGAAGCAATTTGTTTATTTCAATGGATTCAACATGGCAGCAGACGCAAAGCTACCTTTTGATGCAGTCTTAGATATTGGATACTAAGTAGTTTATAATGCAAGTTTATTTTGAAAAAAGAGCAGCTTTTGGTGTTAAACTTCGCGAGACCCCAGTCATTATTGTTGTCTCGCCATTAATCGCCCTAATGGAGGACTGGGTACGGTAGGCGGTCAACCATGGAATATCTGCTGTGTCCCGAGAAAGAAAATGCGATAAAGAATTGTCGATACCAACTTCTGTTCGGCAGTCCTGAGGCCTGGATGAGCGCAAAGTGGCAAGACATGTTAGCCACGGACTTGGGGACCAACCTGGTAGGCATCGTCGTCGACGAAGTCCATTTAACTTATAAATGGTAAGTGGTATTTATTAACATCATATTGTCATTATGCCTGTAGACTACCTATTTTGGTTGTCACAGTTCCACTAAGTTGTGTTGCTTTTCAATGTCAATATACAGCTACCGCTTAAGTAGCATAACTTTCAGCTGTGCATACGTACCCGATTAAAGTTGTTGGCACTTTAGTCATTAAATTTAATTTTTAACATTTTTAAACTTGTGAAGTACTTGAAGTATAATCTATGTTAAACTGTATTTAATACTTGTGTTTTTCTAATTGAGACGATTGGCTGTTAGCTACGTATAGGCGCATTTGATAGACATTCTTAGCACCCAATAAACGGCGCCGGGCATTCATAAACCACTCCTCAAATACGAGAAAATGTACATGTGGTTCCCAGACCCAAGTGTCAACGAGAATTGTGTCTGGCATAGACCTTATTCAGAGCAGCGCCATGACAGGTGTGATAGTGAGGCTGTGAGGGATAGACTTACCGTGTTTCCAATGGCATCCGCTTTAAAAAGCTGAATAAAGCTCCTAGATTACTTACAATTTTCCACAACTTACATTGTCAGGAGTTTTTTGTCAACTGAAATTTCTTAGAAAGATATTTTTCCTGTGTTTCATGAGCAGAACAATCCGAAAACACATTAAATAACAGTACAGCCCATTGAAGAGATGCAAGTCTATCCCTCACAGCCTCGCTTTCATTCTCATTAAAAATCAAAGATGGCGCTGCCGTGAATAAGGCGTATTAGCCAGGCTAATCTGAGCCATGAAAACCTTAAAAAAAAAATCAATAATTTCGCTAAGGATGAAAATAAATTAGGTCTCTTTGCAGATGATATTATCATATACCTCAGCAATCCGGATTAAACGATTGCTAAACATTTTACATTACTAAAAGATTTTGGAGGGAGATCTGGGTACATGTTAAACATTTCAAAAACCCAAGTTCTCTGTATAAAATACAGACCAGCTGACTTAATCAGACGATCTTACAATTTAAAATGAAATATACATATATATATATATATATAAAAATATAAAAACAAATATTTACAGTAAGTGTTTATCTGAATAGAGAACTACATTATATGAGGCTAATTATAATAAGATAAATGAAGTTATACATAAAGATCAGACAAAATTGGCAACACTAGTAATGGATTTAAGCAACCTCTCAGTGATAAGTCGGACAGGGGAATAGCCATAACTAAAGCATTGGGGATGTTTATAGCAAAAGATATGCAATCGTACAGCGTGATTGAGTGTGAAAGATTTCGTCAGCTGATGAAAGTACTCAAGCCGCAGTATAATATTCCCTCCCGCTGACACTTTAGAGCCACTGTAATTCCACAACTGTATGACCAGACACGAGGAGAAATTGACAGAATTGTCCGAGACAGCCCACGTAGCCCTCACTACAGATGGATGGACCTCCAGGGCCACTGAAAGTTTCCTAACGGTGACGGCTCACTATATTACTTCAGAGTGGGAAATGAGAAGCTGTGTTTTGCAAACACGCCCCATTTATGAAAGTCATACCAGTGAGCCTCTCTCTGAAATGCTGACAGACGCGGTGGCGGAATGGAAACTGGAGAGGTTTCTACAGATAATGCTAAAAATATAGTGAATGCTATCGATTTAGCAGAGGGACTTGGGCCACAAATCGGGTGCTTCACACACACAGTTAACCTTGCAGTCAAGAGTGCAATCTCACTGAACCAAGTATCCCGACTCCTGGAGAAGGTTAGGAAGGTGGTTAGCTTCTTTCACCGAAGCACAACAGCTGCCCATGCCCTGAAAACCAAGCAGGATATGTTGGAATTGCCTGTTCACAAACTAATACACGACGTGACAACTCGTTGGAACTCCACATATGACATGTTAGAACGTAATGTGGAGCAACAGGCTGCCATCTACTC